TCATGTCCTTAGTCTTATAAAACTAAAGACAAGGCGTCGTTAATTACTTAATACAGTCGGAAGGATATTTTGAGCCATTGTAGAAATACTTCTGTTTTTTAAAACAGCATCTATTAGCCTGTACGACAATACAGTATCACCAAATACTGGGGGTAGCTTTTGTGGTAATTTTTAGTCGAATAGCGGTGTTGGTTTTAAGAAAAATATTTTAAAAACTGCACAAGTAACCTTTTCTATATTTTCGTAACTGTTAAAGATAAGGTTCTGCTAAATATTGTCAGTTTTATGCTGGCGGTGCTTAACATTTTTTTTTGCACGGATCACAGTCCATCAGCGAAACTGAAAGTGGAAACTGTCGTAATTATGACATTGTTATAATGGAAAAAAGCCGAGCGTGCGAACTGAGGGAAACCGCGCGCGCGCCGCGCCACGCCACTCTGATATTCAGTTACTGAATTGTAATCAACGATATGAAATATCCTAGATACACCACGTGCGCTCAAAATATGTCCCTATCAAGAAGTGCTTGAACACGACTCAAGCACTTCTTGGTTCACAGTCACACGCGGACCGTTGAAAAGTCAACATGCCGCTGAGCTCCGTGAAAAAATGCGAAATGAATACTTTTAGTATGTAAAGTGTTGTTTTTTCGACAGATATCTCATCAATGTTTGTTAATTTAACGCATATAGCAATAAGTCGTAAACTTTACGAGTTTACATCTCGGACTGTCATAACTCTTTGACGCATGCGCTTTGATTAAGACCTTATGCAGTGTGCTTTAAAGGTGATTTTCAATGTTCAAATAATGAATTATATTGTTTAGACTATGCGATTATCTTACGGAGCTCCGTGGATCGTCCAATGTACCTTGTGGACAGGTTTCGGGCATGATTTTGTTCGTGTAGGTGTATCTAGGGTATTTAATATCGTTGATTGCAATACTTTGCATGATCCTGAATCCAAACGGTAACAGAGAAAACCTGTTATCTGAGCCTTCGCTGTCATAGGTTAGACAGTAATTAAAGAGAGAAAAAAAAATATACGAACCGTAATATGGAAAAGGTTACCCGTGCAGTTTTTAAAATTTTCTTAAAACCTACAGCGCTATTCGACTAAAAATTACCACAAAAGCTACCCCAGTATTTGGTGGTACTATATTGTCGTTCAGGCTAATAAATGCTGTTTTAAAAACAAAAGTATTTCTACATTGGCTCAAAATTTCCTTCCGACTGTATTAAGTAATTAACTCGACTCATTTTAATTGTAACGAGCAATGAGAACTGTATAGGATTATGGACATGGAAGAATATCCCCTCTCTCTTGTCATGTTTTTACGCGCATAAAGGTCATGCGAGGAGGATTGGCTATTTTTTTTTATAGCAAGGTAGGCAAATGATAATTGAAACAGTTCCACAGCTGATGAAACAGTAAGTCCCATCCCAACCCATCAACGCTGGCTAGATAATATGTTTTTTTTTAAATTTGTATGTGTATGATTGTATTTGATAATAAAATAAATAATTAAAAAATAATGCTACTTCAAGAGAGGTAGCGCATTGCGCGTGGAATTTATTCTAATAAAATTCCTTTAGATTTAAACATCTAAGTAGTATTATAGATATTAACGGGATTGTTACCATGTACCTTGTTTTTTATGAGTCTCCGATATTTCGGCACTTTGTGTGCCGAGAACAAATGCGAGTGAATAGTGAGAATGTGACCAATGGTAGTGGTAGTATCGAACGCAGCAAAAGACGACGTCAGAGGGTAGACCGATATGTCTGCCAATAACATCTACCCGCAATTACTTCAGTTACTCCGTGATCATGGCGCTTGCAACAGTGCCGAAATATCGGAGACTCATAAAAAACAAGGTACATGGTAACAATCCCGTTAATAGCTATAATGTTAGTGACCATGAAAGTTTAAAACAATATATCTAAGTAGTAGTTACATGCTTAAAAAAACCGGCCAAGTGCGAGTCGGACTCGCGCACCGAGGGTTCCGTACAAACTCAATTTAATACCTCTACGCGTTCATGAGAAAAGTGGTAGTAACTTTAAAATTTTCAAAAATATTTTTTCTTATATGATGTAACTAAAAATTTATAGTTTTCGCAATTTTTCCTTTATCTGTACGATAAGACGTTACTTCGTACCAAATTTCAAGATTCTAAGTTCATGGGAAGTACCCTGTAGGTTTTGATTCCCGTGCGAGTTTCGAAAAGTTGCGGAAATTTGCGGCATAAACGGCTGTATCTTTTGATTGCGTTGGCTTAGAAGTTTGATTTTTTCACAGCTTCAAGGGACAGTAGATCTGAGTAATTGATATAAATTTCAGCTTCATACCTCCACGCGTTCCTGAGAAAAAGGGTCTTGACAGACGGACGGACGGACAGACGGACAACAAAGTGATCCTATAAGGGTTCCGTTTTTCCTTTTGAGGTACGGAACCCTAAAAAGAGCAAATATAACAATTCTGTGTTTAAGATTCGGTTACACGATAAGTACGGGATTATTGGGTAATGGGGCTTGGTGTAAACAACTTGAGCAACACGGCCTGTCTGGGCTTGTAAGTACATTTTAAGCTTTGTGAACATTCTGACATACACACTCTTACATATTTTTTATGTTATTTTAATTTGTCATTATGTGGACCTGTTATTTCGTTTTTTTTTATTTGGTAATAGGTAAGCGCTTGACCATAATTCGCCTGACGGAAAGCAATATTATGGTCTACGATGGAGCGCGCTTACCTAATAAAAACCGGTTCACTCTTGCTTTGAAGACCGTTAGATTGTAGTGCTCGGGGAACAATGGCTCAGGCAAGGAATTCCACAGTTTGGCAGTCCGCACGATGAAGCTAGAAGTGAATCGCTTAGTGCGAGTCTTTGGAACTGCCACCGTGAATCGATGTCGCCTTGCCGTTTCCCTGCTCGTCCGGTAGTAGAAAGGGGCGGGAGGAATTAGCTCATGTTGTTTTCGTTTAAGTATTTGTGGGAAGGCCAAAGAGGAAGATCTTCCTCCGAGCTGGGTGATGGTAGCTCGGGGGCCGCGGCCCGACTGATGTTGGTCGGGCATCGTATATATGGAGTGTTTGGCTACGAATTTCTCTTGCGCGATGTAGGCTTCCATACGTTGTGAACGCAGCGCCGGTAGCGCCATCTCTTAAGGAGGCGAGTGAGTTCATTATATGTGGGGCATGTAGCCATATATTATCTCTTATCTATTAGACAAGTCCGTCCGTCCGTGGTGCTGTTTCAGCGGCCAAACCGTAAGAGATAGATAAAGAGAATGTTAAGTTATAAGTTAAGAATAGTCTGATAAGACTACAAACCGGATTTGAGTAACGTAGCACTTCCGGTTTTCGAGAAATCACGTGATTTCTATTTCAAACGAAACCACACAAAATCTCCGAAGTTCTCAATTAATTAAATACATTTTTTTTTGGTGAACATTTGGTTCACTGGTTTGCTAGTTAGAAATAATTTATTTAAGGGTATAGGTATTATTAGTAATGGTATAAATAAATCAAATATTTAGCAAACGTAGCCGTGGACTGCCATGCCATTAAATATTTATATGGAAACCCGCTTATATTAAACCGATTTATATTTATAGGAGCTCGATGGCGCAAGTGGTTAGCGCGTACGGCTGCGATCGTTGAAGTTAAGCAACTTTCGCAGTGGTCGGTCATTGGACCAAGAATTTACTATCTCGAGTTCCTCCGTGCTTCGGAAGGCACGTTAAGCCGTTGGTCCCGGCTGCATCTGCAGTCGTTAGCACCCGCCAATCCGCACTGGGCCCGCGTGGTGGGTCATGGCCCAATCTCCCTATTCCATCCATAGGGAAGGAGCTCGATATAAAAAGTTTCTGGTCACCCATCCAATGACCGACCATTTCGAAAGTTGCTTGACTTCCACGATCGCGGGCCGAACGCGCTAACCACTTACTCCGCGTTCCTCATATAGGAAATTACATATATGTATATCAGCCTTAGTGGCTAATTTATTCACAGGGTTCGATATGAGAGATGCTAAAATAATACGAATATGATTTCAACGCTAAGAAACATTTACATTAAACGAGAGAAAACCTAGCGGTTACATTAAAAATCGTTCCTAAGGAACAACTGTTATCATAATGGAAAAAAATATTTAGATAACCATGAATTCACTTATCTCTGTAAGAGGCCATATTTAAAAGGAAAAAAGGCCCATATTGACAGGATTTTAATTAACTATACAAAAATTTGTTCTCGCCGTCTGGTGTCTCAAGGGCGCAGATATCATACTTCAGGCTTAGACAAAAAAGTAAATTAAAAGTGTGAAATTAGTCTAGACATGGCCAATTAAATTATTCCTTCTGATTAGCTGTCTATATGACAGTTAATTATTTAATGAAAATATTAAAATATTTTCTTCTTTCAACTATAATCATACTTATATATTACTAGCTGACCCAGCGAACTTCGTACCGCCCTAAAAATAGGGGTTGTCCAGCGGACAAAATTGTGAATCTAAACCATTCTCATATCCCCTTGAACACACACAAAAAATTTCAGCAAAATCGGTCCAGTCGTTTAAGAGAAGTTCAGTGACATACACACTCACAGAAGAATTATATATATAAAGATATATTGACATTGTGGGTTTCCTATAATGCGAAGAGATGGCGCTGCCTTGCAGCTTAAGAATGGCTAGAGGAATTTCGACGCGATCCGTGAGGGCCGCGGTAGCATAATTGGTCAGTGCATTCGCCCGGATTGCGAAGGGTGTGGGTTCGAGTCCCGTCTGCTGCCTGGTCCGCGTGGATTTTTTTCTAGTTATATTTTCTTTAGATTTGAACATCAAGCATTTACATGCTTTAAAAATAAAAATTTTAACTATAATCATACTTATTTAAATGAGTTCCATACCTACTTATATCATATTAGGTAATTTTTATTTGCATAATATATTTCGCGCCTTTATTTTTTTCCTATGAGGCGCAAAATAATTACCCCACTCCTCCTGGTGTTATGTGTAAGTGGAGTCCAGTCGCGAAGATTGATGATGTGGCAGAAATTGTGCCACTCCAGTCATCCTCACTTTGCTGCCCTGAACCCAATACCCTACGCCGCCCTGAACCCAATACCCTACGCCGCCTTGAACCCACTACCCTACGCCGCCCTGAACCCAATACCCTACGCCGCCCTGAACCCAATACCCTACGCCGCCTTGAACCCACTACCCTACGCCGCCCTGAACCCAATACCCTACGCCGCTCTGAACCCAATACCCTACGCCGCCTTGAACCCAATACCCTACGCTGCCCTGAACCCAATACCAAACGCCACCTTGAACCCAATACCCTACGCCGCCCTGAACCCAATACCCTACGCCACCTTGAACCCAATACCCTACGCCGCCTTGAACCCAATACCCTACGCCGCCTTGAACCCAATACCCTACGCCGCCTTGAACCCAATACCCTACGCCGCCCTGAACCCAATACCCTACGCCGCCCTGAACCCAATACCCTACGCCGCCCTGAACCCAATACCCTACGCCGCCTTGAACCCAATACCCTACGCCGCCCTGGAACCCTACCCACCAGCAGAAATACAACACCAACAATTTTTTTTTTTAACTTTTCTAACATTCACACCAATTAGCCTAGCCCCAAAGTAAGCACTGTAAGGGTTGTGTTATGGGATGCTAGGGTAACGGATAGAATACATAAACTGGACATATATAAGTATATTTATATATAAATACATTATTAAACATCCATGACTGGAGTACAAATGCTCGTATTCATGACACAAACATCTGCCTCCACCGGGATTCGAACGCGGGACCTCTCGAGTCGGCGACACCATGAAACCACTCGGCTACGGTGGTCGTCAAGTCGTCAAAAGGCAGTGTTATTTTATTGTGGTCTTAGGTAAGGTAGAGATTGCTTCCCTAGACAGGCGCTCCAATAGGGAAGATGCAATATTTTTAATTATGTTTTCATTTTTAAGAATTCCATGTAGAATAAAACCACAGATATATTAAAAAATTAAAACATTGTAATTTTTCGGAAAAAATGCGGTTCTAAATTGACAGTTTAAATTTTCGCGCGAAAACGGACCTATGGTTCCGGTGACGTCACTTCCTGGCGTCTGCTTTGATAAACGCAACTTCTGTTTTTATTATAAAACGCAATTAATATTCCCATAAAATAATATTCACTTTTACAACCATAACCTCAAATAAGTTGTCATAACAGGAGTGACGTCACTGAACGCTGATTGGTGTTTTAAAATACGTTTTGTTTCAAGTCATTTTTAATTCGTAATTATTGTTAAAACACAACATTATTTAAAATAAAAATGTTGCAGTGGCCTTTCTTTTATATTTTTTTAACATTTTAATCATAAAATTTTCATAAATATTATATTTGCATCTTCCCTATTAAAGCGGTAAATCCGCATCGCTCTTAAAGAGTTCACTAACAAACCCTATTTCGAGATCTAATTCTGATTTAAACGCACTAATTCTTTTGACTATTTCCAGTAGGAATTTTCTCCGAGTTTCGTCGATCAGTTAATAGCCGCGGACAGGGAAAACCTGGCCGGTGCGAAAGGGAAACGCAGCAATGATATTGTGCAGCGAACGGTTTCAAGTTTACTAGTGCAAGTGCAGCTGCGCGGGCGCACAGCACCGCGTGACGCGGAGACGCGTCCTGAGATATATGATTGCTTGGTAAATGTGACTGCAGCAATTTCGCTAACAATAATGTTAAGTTGACATTGACGTTATGACAATTTTTTTTTTGGGATAAAACCTGTTTTATATGAATCTAGGTTAACGGTCAGTTTCAATAAACAACTTCCAGTAAAAGGTAAGGATAATCTGGTTTCGCTTTTTAGCAAATGTTTGCTATTATAGACTTCAATTATAGAGTAACAGTACATTACACATAGACATAGGTTAAGAGGTTTTGCAGCATTGGAGCAATGTGATGATGAAAAAGAATGTGCCAGCTGTGGTAATTTTTAAGTAGCTCGTAAATATGTTTTTTTTCCCTTAAAAAGCTTAACCTTTATACCAATGCTGGCAACACCACTATGTAATAATACTATCTAGGTGCTACGTTTTGTGCAGCCTTTGACATTCATCAATATTATATATATGTGTATTGTTTAGACAGACAATTTTTCAATATTAAATGAATACTATGAATTCTGGGGCGTTTGGTGTAACTGATGCAGAGTTATCACTTCCTGAATATAAGTTTGTAAGGTCCCTGAAGCAATGGTTATTATATAATGAATTTTATAATCTAAATGAATATTTTAATAATAACGTTTCGTAAGAATGACTATTGCATGCCCGATTAGGGTAACTGTGTGCACTAACATCTAGCACTATTACTAAATGTAACAGTTTTGCAATAAAGAATTATTCTATTCTATTCTATTAACACAACACATATTTATGCTTAAGTCAATTACTATTATCATATTTTTTTAAAATAAATTATTAAATTTTTGATGGATTAGGCTTTAGACGCATCGTTACGACGAAATATCGTGTAACACCGTACTATATAATGTCAAGTTTCCCTCGCCTAGCCACTCAGAATGCACTTTCTTCCTACCGCACTCACACAACCTCACATCCCGGGCACCGTTTACTCGTACTTGTGTGCAGTATTTAGACTAGTGTGCGGCTGTATACACACATTGAGTGCATCTATCCGTTGCAGATGCACACCGCTGCACTGCAAACGAAAGTTTGTGAATGGGACGGCCCAATCTCCTATTGGATTTATCACGCGGTAGTAAAAATTTACGCACGAAAGTCTAATTTCGTATGCATTAGAAAAATTTATATTTTATTTGGTTGCGTTTTTAATACGCTTTCGTTTATCATCGTTTTGGCGGTTTCATTGCATTGTTGTTGCTGTGGCATTCAGAAGATTCAGTCAGAACGTCATTTTGTGAGATATTAGAAGACGTTTGATACAAATTATCGCATAACTGTTACAATATACGAGTACATTCTAAGACGGAATATTGTTTTGAATTTTTTTTTGTTACGCATGATTAACTGTAGAATTATTTTTGTTTTAAATCCGTTATTGCGCATTAATCTGTAAACGTGCAAGCAAATCTATCACATTGAAGATTTCATCGTCATCATCAGCCTATTAATGTCCCCATTGTTGGGGCACAGGCCTTTCCTATGGATGTAATAGGGAGATTGGGTCATGACCCACCACACGGACCCAGTACGGATTGGCGGGTGCTAACGACTGCAGATGCAGGAGGGACCATCGGCTTAACGTGCCTTCCGAAACACGGAGGAACTCAAGACAGAAGATTTTTGGTCACCCATCCAATGACCGACCATTGCGGAAGTTGCTTAACTTCAACGATCGCAGCCGAACGCGCTAGCCACTTGCTTTATCGAGCTCCTCGAAATTACCTATTCATAACTAAGGAAATGATAGTTTGCTAGTATTAATTCTAACTAGGCGAGCGAAACAGGTTCGCAGAGGCAGGCTGGCAGCTAAGCGAGTGGTCCGTGGGAACTGAGTGCAAGGACGATGACGCGCTTTCGAACTGCACCTGCACCAGTTATTAGTCGATGTTACTACGACTATATAGTACTGAGATATTCATCTCCTACATAACTTTAAGCTAAACACATTTGAAACCGGTCTGAATTCATATTTGCGGCGTCTGTTTAAAATACGAACAATTTTCTTTGGACAAGTTTGAGAAATTGACTAGATTTTTCATAGCAAGAAGTTCATAGAATAACTACACCAGATGGTGTTACGCGTGATTGGAAAATTATTTCCACTCAGTTTTCATGGAGTCATGACAGCCTATCTTCTTACAGGAACACAATGTACACAAAACGTTACGGGAGATATTTGATATCAGACTTCTGTAAGACGAACGTAGATTCATTTAGATTCGAGCTCTCTTTATGTCTTTATGTGATGATTTGATTGAGAAATCTGAAGAAATTCATAATTTCAATAATACACTTTTCATATCCGCCGATCCGTTTACGCTATGGAGCTCTTCCCGCATATTTATTTAGGCTTCGAAGTCGCTTTAGAGAAGTTTTCGGACTAACTTAATATTTCATTAAGGAATACGGAGAAACGGTCTGCTCGATACCATTCCAGAGAAGACTGTAAATATTTCCGGATTAGATTGCTCTTCTTTGTCCGATCTTTTAAAAGTCAAGAGGACGATATTTAGCATACCCGACTTTCCCAGTGGGCACTTTGGGCAAGTGCCTAGGACCCCGCTATCGCTAGGGACCTTAGATCACAAATACAAAGTCCCTAGTTCCTGTTAGATCACCAAACGGGGGTCATAGGGGCCCCATTATCCTAATATGCCCAGGGCCTCCAATAGGTCAAAGACGGCACTGATGTTTAGTAAATATTTTGCAGTAACTGTGTATGAAAAAATAAGACGATGAATATATGAATAAAATTATATAATATATGAATAAATATTAACTCGTGATCAGACCAGTTACTCCGTGATCATGGCGCTTGCAACAGTGCCGAAATATAGGAAACTCGCTAACAACAAGGTGCATGGTAACAATCCCGTAAATAACTTATATTACTATAATGTTAGTGACCATGAAAGTTTAAAATAATATATGAATAAAATTCATTAAAATTGACGTACATTTCATTAACGTAGATAAAACAAAATGAAAAAGTAAAATTTCAAAGAAAATTGAATATCTCTATTTATACTCAAGTCTACTCTCTCTTCGCCGGTGTTTGCCTCGCTCATCATTTACAACTTTCCAACAACTAGGCATTTATTAAGCACAGCCATTCAAGTAAACATAACTTTGTACCTCATAACAGTTAAGTGTGGTATTAAAACATATCTTCAATCAACGCTAAGTTTATCATAACCTTTGCGAGATGGCAAAATAAATACACTCAGTAAGTTGGTATTGGAATCGCTACCTACCATATTCCAGATTTTATTTTAGTCAATAAACTTCCGTCCAATATTCAGGAATCTCCGACCATCTTCTCGTTTAAGTCTAAAGTTAAAGATCATTTTCTCAAACAGAAATCTCAAACTTAACGAATCATTCTCACGAAGTATCTTGTTTCTTATTAGTATTTATTTATCAGGCTTATATATATGTTATGTATATTTAGATAGGTTTTGTATTTATCTATGTATATTTATGCAAGTTTATTTATGTAGGTATATGTATTATATAATGTGTATATATATGTGTGTAATGTGTATATATATTTATACAACTATTATTTATTAAGTCTATTTTCCTATAACAGTAGTAATAAATTATTTTTAGTTTAATTTTTGTTGCACTTTCTGTTTCCCGCTAAGTTTTGAATCTCCAACACCACCTAGGTTGGCTGGAAGAGATCTCTTTTAGAGATAAGCCCACCTTTGCTTACTATGTATTTGACTATATGTTTTGAACTATATGATGCAATAAAGAGTATAAATAAAGTGTTTTCCGGAAAAATTGTGACACATTTCCAAGTCTTCACGTGCAAAATCTGTATCGGAAGCTTAGATTTGATGTAAGTGATATATAATACTTAGAGCTTACTATAATTATAGATGTTTCTAATGACGAAAA